CTCCTTGTCCACTCTCAGTTATATCAACGTATCACCACGCATCCAGTCACCGAGTGTCACCCTTATTTGTTACAAGCTTGTTGATCCTCTGCCTCAAAGCCTATTAAAACTGTCCTCTTCCCTGCCATCCCCAGACACTGTGCCCTAGCCCATGTGCCTGATCCTGGTCATTCCTCCTGTAACTGCAGCATTGGTTTTGGTTACCAGCCCCTGGTCTCTCCCCCTTCTCTACTGTCAAAGTGCTCTTTCCCAAACACAAATCTGCTGATGCCATGCCCTTGCTTAAATGCCCTTGCTTAAATACACAACACTGTTCAAAACCTTGGTTCCTGGGTGTCATTCCAGCCTCTCCACCAGTCTTAACCGTCACAAATCACCTCCATCCCCATCTTAACGAAATAGAAAAAGGAAATCCTTGCTCTAACCCAGTGGGTTTCAAACTTTTTGGTCTTGGGATCCCTTTACACTCTTAAAAATTGTTGAAGATTAAAGAGCTTTTGCGGGGCCCGCCCAGCGGTGGTTAAGTCCATAGGTTCTGCTTCTTGGTGGCCCGGAATTCGCTGGTTCGGACGCCGGGTGCTGACACGGCACCACTTGGCAAGCCATGCTGTGGTAGGCGTCCCACATATAAAGTAGAGGAAGATGGGCACGGATGTTAGCTCAGGGCCAGTCTTCCTCAGCAAAAAGATGAGGATTGGCAGCAGATGTTAGCACAGGGCTAATCTTCCTCAAAAAATAAATAAATAAATAAAGAGCTTTTGCTTATGTGGGTTATATCTAGCCATAATTCCACTCACATTTGAATACTATACTCAAAATCAGAACAGAAAAAAAATAATGCCTATTAATTTTGAAGTTAAATATTAACATAAACTGCATCTTTTTATGAAAAATGCCTATTTCCAAAAAAACTTCAGTGAAAAAAGTGGATTGTTTTACATTTACAAATCTTTCCAAAGTCTGGCTTAAGAGACAGTTGGATTCTCACATTTGCTTCTACATTCAATCTGTTATAATATGTTGTTTGCTTGAAAAACATGAAGAAAATCTGGCCTCACAGATACGTAGTTGGAAAAAGGAATACTTGAAGAGCCTTTTCAGATAACTGGGGACATTCTTCCATACCACCCAAAACTTGACGAAAGAGCTTCTTAAAGGCTAGTTGCCATGTTGAATCTGAAACCCAATCAATGAACATTCTGTACTCTGCTACATTCAAATCTATTGTTCTACCTGGCTCTTTGAATGGATCTTGACACATCTTTTTATACAATATCAAAACATCATGCTCACTAGTATCACTACGTATCTCCTCAGAAGAGCCTTTAAGTAATGGGATACTGTCAAGCTCACACTGGTAGATACAAGTTTTCCATAATTTCAGTTTTCACTGGAATGTTTCACTTTCCCACTTGCAACAAAACTGACAAATTTCCTTGAAGTAAGAGGTTCTCTTAGTCTGTTTTCAAGAAAATGTCTGTCAAATACCCAAATATGAATAACCACTATTTGACAGTCTTTCATTCAGGTAAAAATGACATCCCACAAAAAAAATAGTTCAGCTCGCAACTCAATCCCACAAATACTCTTCCTCAAGGTAGCCACTGTACTCCTGTATGCAGAAGTGCTTTACGCATACTTTTCATTCATCACGTGTGTTAAAACGATGTACAGGGGCCGGCCCCATGGCCGAGTGGTTAAGTTCGCGCACTCCACTTCAGCAGTCCAGGGTTTCACTGGTTCGGATCCTGGGCGCGGACATGGCACCACTCATCGGGCCATGTTGAGGTGGCATCCCACGTGCCACAACTAGAGGGACCCACAACTAAAATGCACAACTATGTACCGGGGGGCTTTGGAAAGAAGAAGGAAAAAAAAAAGAAAATTGGCAGCAGATGTTAGCTCAGGTGCCAATCTTTAAAATAAAAAAAAAGGGGGGGGGGGGCTGGTCCGGTGGGGCAAGAGTTAAGTGTGCATGTTCTGCTTCGGTGGCCCAGGGTTCGCCAGTTTGGATCCCAGGTATGGACATGGCACCGCTCGGCACGCCATGCTGTGGCAGGCGTCCCACATATAAAGTAGAGGAAGGTGGGCAGTTAAGAATCCAATTTAATAAAATTAAAAATTTCTACTGCTTCATGAAGATGATTAAGTGAAAGTGGATTGGCTGAGGCACCAGCAGTTTCTTTCACCAATGCTACAGCATCAAGAATGTAAATCTCACTACGGTGAAAACGACAATACCACCCTTAATGTTAGCATAAAAACAGATGTAACCTCACAGATCCTGAACAGTCTGTGGGCCACACTCTGAGAACCACCACTCTAAAAACATTAGAATATGTGCTCTTTTCTGCACACAGCGTTATGTCCCCAACTCCAAGCTGTTCACGCCACCTGTGTCTGGGGAATTCCCATTCGTCTTTCCAAGTCTTGCCAAGTGTCGCTTTCCTGCAGCTCTCCCCTCCCTGAGAAGATCTGTTCCCTCAGCGCTTACCATCTTCATAACGATCTCTCATACACACTCACTCGCAGCATATACCCAAGGCCATTCTGTCCCTGACTTCAAGCCCCAGACTGTAAACTCCTCAAGGGTAATAACCACATCTTATCCATCTTCAGAATTCAGAAGAGCATCTCTGATTTCCTTCCTTCTCAGAAAATACCAAGGAAAACAAAGAGCCACATAGAGCCTCCACGATGAAGAGATTCACTGACGGACAGACTGACTGATTTAGTCACTTTTTCAAAACAATACTGAATGAACAAATGTTATCACAGTAAGTCACCTCAAACTCTTTTTTTCTGGTAATCCAAAGGGAGCCAGTGCCGTCAGCTCATTGGATATTTATGATGTCCCTTATATTAAAAAAGTCTTCCACAGTTCCTCTCATCTTGATTACTTTATTTAAAAACACGTTAGACATTTCTTAATGGAAACACCTTAACTATAATTAACTCAAGAACATCCCAGAAAGCTAATCTCTAGCTGAGTCAAACCTAATCAATTAACCCAACCATCACCCTCCAAAGAACTCCTTCTGATGTTAGCCAGGACAATTACAAGAAATTTCACCATATTCTGCCAGGCAACTGGTCTGACAACCTCACCCGTCAAGCCAATTCTGTATGACTTTTTTCCAATCCACCTTCTCGAGATATAATTTACAAACACTAAAATGCGCACATTTGAAGTACACGTATAAACACTGCTTTTTCATACTCAAAACTCTCTTAGCTCTATTGCTTTGATCTCCCGGACATTTCAAAACCAAGCCAGAGCGAGCTCTTGGGCTAACAGCAAATAGGCTGAACCGCAGGAAACGGCCAACAACGAGCGGTCTCACCTGGTCCGCCCTGATAAAATTACAAGGGCAGCGCCATGAGGATGGAGGACAGCAGAACGAGACAGGGGCACAAAACTGAGGAAAAGCAGCGTCTCACCGGTCATTCCAATCGTCCCCTCGCCGTCTTTCATCCCTCTCCCTGGAACGGTCATAGTCGCTGCGCTCTCTTCTAAACTTGTCCCTGCGCCTGCGATCGTACTCGTCATCACTGTCACCCATGGCGCGGTCGCAGGGGGCCTGGAGCCCGGACAGGGGCGGTCAGGGCACCGAACAATGACGGGAGGGAAGGCTCGCCCCTCCGCAGCAGCGCGCCCGCCCCGCTCCACACAGGCCAGCCAGCCGCCGTCCCCGCCATCCTAAGCCCTCTTCTCCGGCGGGTCGGCGGCTCCGACGCGGCGCTCGTCCCCACCGGTCTCCCGCCACCCCGCGGGCCCCGGGCCCCGCTCTCCGGGCGCTCCCCTCCCCCACCTGGGAGCGGCCGCGGCCGTTAGTCTCGCGCTCGGGCGGGCTTGCTTTCCGGGCGACCTGGGCCCGCCTCCGGCCTCGGGCGCGCGACGAGGACGGTGAGGAGGGTGAGAGGGAGACGCGGGGCCCTCAGCTAGGGGGCTGAGGCGACGAGAAGAAGGTGGGCCAGCGACGATGGGCGGTCGGCGCGCGCCGCTCGCGCTGCGCCTGCGTCACCGGCGACACACCGCCTCCAACAGCAGAGCGGCCCCCGCGCGGCCCGAGCTGGAACTAAACCTAAGAGGGAAAGACGGGGAGCACCGGGGCATGACGGGAAGGGGCGGGGACCCGGAAGTCTCGCACGCTTTCCAGGACGAGAATTGCGCAAGCGAGAAGACCTACGGGAAGCCGGCTGGACCAAGCGCCGCCTCGAGAGGGCGGTAGAGCCCTCTGGGCGTGAAGGGGCGCTTCTCCGGGCCGAGGGCGACGGCCACGTTTCCTTGGCTTGGTCTTGGGTCTTTTCCAGTTCCCATCCAGCCGTTGTCCGGCCCGCGCTTGCTCCGGGCGCCTTCTAACCTCCTCCTGGGTTGTTGCGCCCCTCTCCTCGCGCAGCACCGGGGCTTGGGGAATGCGTTCGCTCAGCATGATGAAGCAACCATTTTAAAGCATCCCTCCCACCATTTTGTGCTCCCACCAAAGAACCAGCCTTTATTGGTGACTCGGTGTGAGCTCCGTGGAAAACCCATTGTTCCTGCTCTTCTCCGACAAAGGCGCCCCATCTTTAAGCAGAACGGCCAAATCTCAGTCTTATTCCCAACCAGTACTTTGATGAGACAGGCAGGATTTGGCTTGCCCCAGATGAAACGCACCACCACCCCAGAGATAATACCACGTCCTGCTCAGTGAATTGAGTGGAAAGGCTTAAGAATAGGGAATGCTGCCTCCCCGGAGCATGCTGCTGCAGCTTTGCTCCCGGCACGGAGACCAGTGTCTAGTGTTTGGTGTCTAGACCAAACTACATTCAAAAAAGTGTATGATAGAGTTGCAAAAAACTGGACCAGGACTAAGAAAACCCAGGTTCTGAGCTTGGTTCTGCCATTTTGGAACCATGCAATCTGAGGAAGTCACTTCTCAGCTAAAAATGCAGATAGTCGCAACGATCGTGCTTGTGTTGGGCTGCTCTGAAAATCAGATGAGACAGCAGACTTGAAAGTGTTTTGTAAACTCTTGAGCGATTATTATTTCATGATTGGAGGGAGAGGAGATAGCATTTGGTGACAAGGCTGTAAAGGCAGATGTCAAGGAGGGTGGTCGTGGGAACGGAGAACACGGAGGGTGCTTCTGGGAAGACTCAGCAGTCGGTGGTGACAGTGGCTGAGAGCTCCTGGATGCGCCAGGCACTGCAGGCCTTGCACAAGATATGCCCATCCAGTGGGTAGCAGCCCTGACACTCGCCCTCAGAGGACAGCAGCAGCCCACACTCCTGTTGGGAAAGAAGCAACAGCTTTCCATCAGGCCCAAACCGCTGGATTCCTTCTCCCTTGTTCTCTCCCATACCCAGCACCCCAGACCCCAAGAACCCCGTTTCCCATTGCCCAGGCCCCCTGACCTCGCACTTGTAACAGCCAATGTGAAAACTGCGATCCAGAGCAACAATTCGCACTGTCTCCTCCTGACCTGGTTCAGGCATGATGGCCCCACCACACACTGAGCATCGTGGGGCAAACTTCCTGGGATGGAGGGGAACCAAGAGGCTGTCAAGCTGGGCTGGAGAGGACTAACAGTGGAGCCCAGAGAAGGTGGCATAAAGAAGGGAACAGGAGAGGCCAGAGGTATGGTCTTGGATCTTGGGGAAGAGATTGATGTTAACAAAAATGAGGCATAGCCAGGGGTAGGAAACGGGAGAGGCTGGTACTGAGACATGAAGGAGCGATGAGGAAGATGGGAAAAGCCAGACATCCTGAGACAAAGGTGGGGGACCCAGCCTGACCTGTGGAAGTCCTCAATGCAATGGATCTGGCTAGTGGCATCCACCGTGAAAGGGATGCCGTCGAGGCCACGGTGGCACACCACGCAAGTGAAACAGCCAGGATGGTAGGCCTTCCCCATAGCCCGCAGGATCCGGTCTAGGATGGGTTGGGAGCATGTGGAGCACTTCTCCAGAGTGGCCTGTTGGGAAGGCAGGCAGGAAGGCTGAGGGCTAGGAGACCCATGGCAGCCCCACAAGCATCCTGCCAGCCCACCCATCTGTTCATGGATCCGCCGCACGTGATTGAGTGAAAGGTGGCAAGTCTTGGCACTGTGGTTTCCTGGACAAGTTATTTAACCTCTCTGAGCTTCAGTTTCCTTCAGTGGTAATATGTGCCTCACAGGGGTGTGGTGGGAATTTAACACATTCCCTGAACTCTAAAATAAATGCCTCACATTTGCAAGGGGCTGTTATCCTTCCCTCCAGCAGCCAGTATTCAGCTACTTACTTAATCCCTCCCTTCTTGTATATCAGTTTTAGTTCCCCAGCTTCAAGCTCAGTTCCTCTTTGGGGCTTGGACATCTAGTTCCCACCTTGGATGGAGGCCCCCTGCCTCCTGCCCGCCCCAACCACTCACCACATAGCAGCTCTCACAATACGCCCTCCTCTCCACAGCATAGAAATGCTGGCCCCGAAGCTGGGCCCGGCACGTAGAGCACACAAAGCAGCCAACGTGGAAGACGCGGTCCAGGGCCACAACCCCGGCCCCATCCCCGACCACATCTTCTCCGCAGCCACCACACCGGCCTGGGGACAGGGAGGGACACCGTCAATCTGCATAGGCTGGGGAGCTGGATGGCTGTCCCTCTGACTCTCCAGCCCCACCTCCCCCTTCCCACCCCACCCTCCGGGTCAGCTCACCGAAGTACTCCCCGCTGGGCGGGTGGTTCATGTCGTGCACCAGCTTCTTGGTCAGCCTCTCAAGTTCCTCCTCAGGAGGCTGGCTCAGGGGGACCTGGGAGGTGAGAATCAGGGGTTCGGCCCTCCTTCTAGCTCCCGACACTGTGAAAATCACTGAGGGTGACCAAACACTTCTACCCAGAAAGCTCCTCTGAGAACATTTCAGCCCAGGGTCCAGAGCCACACCTTGAGGAGCCAGGGTACAGCTCTAGTCCCCTCCCTCCTGTATTTCCTGACCTGCCCACACCCCTGGGGGATCCAGAGCTCCAACACCCAAGGCCTCTGATGACCAGGACATTAAACACCACCCAAGCCCCACCCAATCAGCATCCTGTTGTCTGTGAGGACCCCAAATCCCAGCACCGGGGCTCACCTGGGGCCCATACCCGCCTCCTCTTCCTCCGCCTGCGTGGCCAGAGACCCCCGCAACCTCCTCTTTACCCCCTGGCCCTGGCTCTCGGTGGCTCCTATAGCCAGGCCCCCAGACTTCACCTCGGCCTGGGAGAGGAAAGTTGGGGCCTGGAAGGGGCCCAGAGGCCTGAGAGGCCCCCCGCCTGGGGGGGCCACAGCCCCTCACTGGTTGTGCCACCTTCACTTGCACAGGGAAGGCAGGGCCAGCAGGGGTGCTGGCTGTTGTGTAGGAGGCCGGAGTGGGGCCCCCATAAGGGGATGCTGGGAGCGGTGGGGAAGGAACACCCCCTCCATTCGGCTTCAGGGAGCCCGTGCGGTAGGCAGGGGGCTGAGGGGCCTCATAAGCCTGGGGAGAAATGGAGACCAGAAGGAGTGAGCTGGGCCCATTCCAGGACACACACCTGTGGAAACCCCCCACCCATGTGTGTGGGACCCAGGTAAGTGCCGGTTTTTATCAAGGGCCCGCCCTCGAGTAACTGACAACCTAGTAAGTTTTGGTGGCCCAGCTTCTTCCACGAGGTGGAGGTGGGGGGTGGACCAGGTTGAGAATCCAGAGAAGGGACTAGGCTGGGGGTGGGGGGCAGGGGACAAGGAGCAGGGGAGGGACTGGGGCAGGACAAGGGAGTCACCTGCCGGTCAGGCCGCCGTGGGGCATGACCACGACCCCCGTCCAGCTCAGCCAGCATGCTGGTCAGCGAATCGATCTCAGCATCCAGACTTCCTGGGCGTAAGCCCCCTCGGTCTGGGGGGAGCCCCTGGGGATGGAGCAGAAGCAGGGAGAAGGCAAATCCCACGGGCTCTTCTCCTGCCCCACCCCCACCCCCCAATCCCGGTTCTCACCTGTGAGCGCTGGGGTGCTCCATGGCACCCCACCCAGGCCAGCCCCCTATCCTCTGGTCCCCCCGGGGCCTGGTAACACTGCTCAGATGGGAGGGGGCAAAAATTGACCCTGGGGTGGGGCTGGAGTGCTGGGGTGGGGGGAGAGAGAGGGAGGGGGGATGGGGAAGGAGACGAGGGTGACACTTGTGGAGGCCGCCCTCTTGGGTTCCTCTTCTCCCCTTCCCCCCCGCACCTGGGCTCCGAGAATGGGGAGAATGGGGCGAAAGGCGGGGAGGGCTGCGAGACGGCAGGGGCGGCTGGTCCCAGCGGGCTTCGGGGAAGGGGCGGCGGGCAGGCTGGGCGGGAGGCAGGAGCCGCCGGGCAGAGGTGGCCTCCTCGGCCCAATGGGGCTGCCTTACCTGCTCCGGGGGCTGGCGGCGGCCCTGGGGCGCCCCGGGGGAGCACTCTCCCCTGGGGGGCTCTGGCGGGCTCCGGCTGCTTCGGGGGGAGCCAGGTGGGCCCCGACATGGCCTGGTACGGGGGCCTCCCGACCGCAGTCAGGGTCCCACGGAGCCCCGGACCTCTGGCCTGGACCCCTTCTTCTGTCCCACACCGCGTTCGGGACTCCAGGAAAGAAACTTTTTCTGGCTTTTTTTTCCCCCTTCCTCCCCAATTTTGGGGACAGCCACGCCCCCGGTGACGTCACCGCATTCCTGGGGGAGGGTCACGTGGCCCCCTAGGCCCTAAACTGCGGTCCCTCCCTAGTCGGCCCCCTTCTGCCGAGCGGGGAGGGCTTTCCGCCAAGCCGGCGTCTGGGGGGCTGCGGGCAGCCTCCATTTCCAGGAGTCCCCCAGGCCCCGCGCCCCAAGTCCCGCACGTGGCCACCTCGCCGCTGGGGCGCTCCAGCGCTCCTCTTTGCCACATCCCCCCATACGGATGTCTCCGCGCTCCTGTCCCATCTACCCACCCCCCAGCAGTGCTCCGCCAGCCCTTAGTGTTTTGGTCTTTTATTCACGTTCAGCAGTTAGAAAAATAAAACAGAACAAAAACATCACAACCTCAGGGGTCATCAAGTCTTGTTGAGTGAGGGGGAGACTGAGGTAGCCTAGAGTCACAAGCGGAGACCCAGTCCCCGTCAAGGCACCGGTGAAGGGAGGGAGGCCAACGTGGCTGGCGGCTGGCGGGACAGCTGCCCTGCTGAGTGCACCAGGGGGGCCCCTCTCCCAGGCATGGTGAGATGCCCCAGACCAGGATCCCCTAATACCTCCACCGGGCTCCATGTACCATCTGCAAGCAGGCGGGAGGCGGCCCTTCCCCTCCTCCTCCACTGATCAAGGTGGGCCTCCCGGCCTGGGCACTCTCTACTTCAGGAATGGGACATCAGAGATCAGTACAGGTGACAGGGGTGACGCCATGGATGAGCAGCGTGGGGCCCAGATCACGGCTCAGCATCTCCAGGAGGGCCAGGTATCGGGGGTATCGGGCAGCATCAGCAGGTGGCCGAGGCAGGTACAGGAAGGTGAGGGCGGTGGCAGGCCCCTCCACGCCATCCCCACCCTCAGGCCCACCTGGCCCTCCTCCTCTGCCACGCCCCTGCTGGGCCCGAATCAGGGCGTTGGCGCTGCATGCCAGGGCCTCTGCCTCAGCGTCTCCCCGCCTGCCATTCACAAAGTCCCCTTCCTCCTCCTCCTCAGGCTCCTGGGACCCAGCCCCCTCACCCCACACCACCTCCTGCACCTCGGCCCGGATCCTCAGCTGGCTCAGCAGTGCCCGGAGCCGCCCCTCAGCCGCCCCGGGGGCCTCCCGAGGCCCCAGGCACAAGAAGATCCGGAGCCGGGCACTGTGCCAAGCAGGCACCATGCCCAAGATGGTTGCCATCTGCAGCAGGAAGAGGCCGCAGACGTCCACATAGCCAGGCCCACCCCGGGGCCGCAGCAGGTTGAGGGGCCACACGTCCACGTGATGTGGCTGAGAGGTGCCCCCAGAGCCCCGGCTCAGCCGCTCAGGGGGCAGGGCCCCACAGGCTCGGGCCAGAACCACATTCTTGTTCATCTTGAGGGCATCCGCCACGGTGGCCACATAGTCCTGGGGAGTGAGAGCCCGGGGGCTCCCAGGAGCCCGTGGTGGAGGGAACAGGGTGCTCAAGGCTGGGGTCCCACCCTCCTGGGTGCCATCTGCAGGCTCAGAGAAAGCCGGGTCTGTCAGGAAGTGGTCCTGCGGTGCAGCATCATCGTAGAAACCCAGGACCAACGTGTTGGGCTTCATGCCACCTGAGGGCAGAGATGGGGAGGGGAAAAGGAAGGACAGGAATCAGACTCACAGGCTGAGTTGACCCCCAGGCTAATACGGGTGGGCCCACTCCTACATGCTGACGTGTGTCAGCCATCAGGTATGACATTCACACTGTGCTTGGGCTCTTAAGGCAACATTATGCACGTTTGCATAATGACTTTTAGTTTTCCCAAACACTTTCACAAGCATTTATTCAATTTATCCATGACTAATATCTCCCACTTAGGCAGAGGTCGCCTTGGGATTCTTTTAACTAATGAGCACTTCCGGTCCCTGGCAGTCGGATGCATCCACTCCAAGCTACTCCCAGCATACCTTTTCCATGATGGGAGACGAGTCTGACTCCACTGGGTAGACCAGACCCCGGATTAGTCAAGCTCATGGTCTGAATCCCCAGGGAGAGAGCACCCAGACCCTGCTGGGGGAGGATGAGAACTCGGACTGGGGCTGCATGATGTTTCCATGACTGCAAAGCCCTAATGATGGTGGGTCCAAAGCATAATCCCCAGAGAAGAGATGGCTAACATCCACCCACTAACCAGGGGCCCCGTCCTGTTGAAAGAAAGCACTTCGTGTTTTAACTCATCCGATCCTTGAAGCAACACTATGAGGTAGGGACTATTTACTCCACCCCCTCTTACACATAAGGCACAGAGCGGTGAAGTCACTTGCCCAAAGGCTTATGGCTGATAGATACGGGCCGGCAGGTGAACACAATGCACGCAGCACCAGAGCCCACTCTCTGAGCCTCTAAGTTGGTGTGTGTACCAACCACAATGCCCCCAGTCCCTGCCAGCAGCTCCTGGCTTTTAATTTTTGGACAACCAGTATGGAATCAGATAATCCCCCCTTTAAGAGGGCTGCATTTACAAGAAGACGCTGAGAACTCTTCTGAAACCCCTTCTCGTGAAACAAACGGATTGCTTAAAATCTACCAGCAGATCAAATTTTACTTGCTAGGAGAATTTACTATTTAGAGAAAACCTTTTCCGTTTTATTGGAATCATTTTCCACAGGATACATTTCATGAAAGTAGTGGTCTGTTTGCACAGGTTTGCACGGGTTTCCCCAAAAAAGGTGGGGCTAAGGAGAGACTAGGCCCTCGGATGCTCCAGGGTCTGCCTACTAATGCTTGAAAGTACCCCAAAATACCTCAGCAGGGGTGAACTGCAGCTGATCTTGCAAATTAAGCTAGTTATCCCCCCTCCTGAGCGTTCTCCAGGATTCTGCTATACACGAAACAGGGCAATGTCCAACACTTGAACTTTAGCCAGATTCTAGATGGAGAAGGCAGCATGCACGCTGAGAGGGACTGAGAGAGGAGGAGGCGGCTGAGCCTGGCTCTGGAGGAAGCTGGGGGGCAAGGTGGGGGGCCTCCTGGGTACTAAGACGCAGTCACAAAGATGGGAATCTTCCACTCCATCCAAAAGCATCAGCCCCATGCAGCCTGCACGTCCTTTGCGGCCTCTGGGGACCACGTTACACCACTCCCTACTTCTCTGCCCCTTTCAAGGCCGGGCTGAGATACCATCTCGTCAAAAAACCTTTGCTGACCACATCAGCACACAGTGGTTTTTCTTTCTCTGCACTAGAGTGGTTAGAAACCTTCTGTCCTGGATTTGACGGGGCAGCCCCCAGCCTCAAATAATTGTCCCCAGAAATAGAAAATTCTCTTCAGAGCCTATGCCCCAATTTTTGGATCAGAAAAAAACAAGTGTCATCCCATCTCGAGTCCTTAAGCACCTCCTTTGAGATCTTATCACACACTGTCTGTTATCTTTGAGGCTGTGTCTATCTGCACTCAACTGTGAGTTCCTTTTGGAGTTTACAGTCTGTGGTTTAGACTCTGGGGGAGGGGAGCAGAGATTGAAAGGGGCCAGACAGAGGCCCAAGGGGGCCCAGGAGGAGCAGCTCACCAAGGCCCGAGATCCGCAGCAGATGCTGAGCTCCCTGGCGTACGGAGGGCGAGAGGGTGAGGTCCACGAAGGCCTTTACTTGCGCCCGGTCCACCAGGCTCAGCCACGCCCCGTACTGGGGCTGCACAGGGTCCGAGGGCAGGCAGTCTGCAGAGAAGGAAGGCAGCAAATGTGAGCCAAACTCATTACTTTCTCTTGGAGTCCAAACCCCAAATGGGCAGAAGAAAAAGGTCTGGGCAGGGCTGAGGCTCGCAGGGAAGAAGCACAAGCCTCAGGGACACAAAGAACCCAAGGAGCATCTGAGAGGGAGAGGGAGAAGAGGAGTGGAGGGCAGCTCACCAAGGTCTCCCAGGGTGACATGGCCCAGCACATAGAGTCCCCCCTTTTTGAGCTGGTTGGCCAACCGCAGTAGAGGCAGGGCACCCCGGGGGTTCCCCACCAGGAGCAGCAGCTGGGGCCGCCAGAACTTCACGTGATCCTTCCGGACGTCCAGCCGGAGCAGGTATTTACGCACCTGGGGACAAGAGTGAGGTGGTGGGGAGGAAGGGCTGGAGCGGGCAGCCCCCACTCAACACCTCTCAGCAGGGAACCCCAACTCCAGCCAAGGGAAGAGAAGGCCTCCTTGGGGCATGGGCGTTCCCAGACTGCCTTCTCCCCTCCCCCGCCTCTTTCAAGTACCCCTGACCTGGTGGAAAAGCAACGCCTGGCTGACATAGCCCCAGCTGCTGGGACCTCCTCGAGCTGTGAGCAGGGCAGAAAGCAGGGCCATGAGAAGCAGAGAGCCACCGGCCGCTCCAGGGCTGATGAGAAACATCATGAGGAGGCAGGAGGCCACCCCCAGCAAGCAGGTATGCCAGGAGAACAGGCTGAAGGTGGGGCTGGGAGTGGATGGAGAGGAAGATGGAAACTCAGGGCCTGCCCTGGACACCGTGCCACTCCACTCCATCCCCAACCTCGCCCCCTTGGTCCGCGTGCTTCCCATTCCTCTCTCTTTTTCTCTGGCGACACAGGCATCTTATTCTCTTACCGGAAGTTGGGGGCCGAGGCCCACTCCAGGCTCAGGCAGGACAGGTCCACCGCAGCATAGGCCACCAAGTAGAAGACGGTGACCACAGCGGCCAGTGTGTTCAGCTTCCCAGCCAGGAGCACCAGCTGGACAAGGACCAAGAGGCTGGGCATTGATGCAGCAACCCCCACCAAATGCCAAGGCATCCTGCCTTTTCATTCACATCTCCCAGCCCGAGCGAAGCCCCTCCTGGTCCCGCTAGCGTAATAGCAAGGGGCTTAGGGTGAGAGGAAGGGCAGCTTAAAGAGGAAGGCTCACCTGCACTAGGGCCCAAGAATACAGCACGGCTCCCCAAGGATTCCCCCCTCGGGACACGACCTTGGCCGGTGCCAAGATGACTCCTGTGCAAACAGAAACGCAGCAGATGCAACAGCCTGAGCCAAGCAGGGACGGAGACAGACGCGGAAGGGGGGCTCAGAGCTGGGCAGAGGCAGGGGACAACACACCGAAGAGGTCATCCTGGGCCAGGGCGTGGAGGATGCGGGAGGCGCCGATGAGGGAGCTCATGGAGGCTGAGAGTGAGGTGGCGTAGATACCTATCAGCACCAGCGGGGGCCACAGGCTGATGGCGCGAAAGAACCCATAGTCCTCCTGCAACAGCGTCCTAGCGGGAAGGATAGGAAGAGGACATGGGTAATAAATGCGCACCCATCGTAGGGTCCTTGTGAGAAGGTGCTCACGACCCTGTGTGCAGTTAAGATCCAGGTATTCTCAACTACCCCAGCCTCAATCTCGAGGACCAAAGGAACAGATCGAGTGTGCTGGGGGAAAGACTTGGCATTCTTTGGTTATCGTTGCGCTGCTTTGCATTTAATCACGTGGTGGACATTCCCTACATTATATGCACAAGAAGCCATCTGTTTCTGGAAGTACAAATTGACTAGAAAGCCATTCCTCACCCCACCCCCAAATAAGAGCCTACAGCAGTACTAGGCACGTGACAAATGCTGGCTGTGGACTGGCTCTCACCACTTCACCAGCCTTTCCCAGCGGCGGCGGCAGCTCCTTCTCTCTCCCAATGTGAGAAACAGTCCCATTTTCCCTACACCCCGACAACTTGGGACCTGCCCCCCAGCCTGTGTTTCCCTTGGTGATCCAAGTGCACCAACCTTGTCCCGACACCCCACTCCACCCCCTCGGGGGCCAGGCTCACCCCCTCCCCAGGCACCTGTCACAGGTGAAGCTGGAGAGGAAGAAAAGCAAGATGTAGATGAAGAAGGTATAGGCTACGGCGATGATGGTACCCAGAGGAATCGCCCGGCTGGGGTCCTTCAGCTCCCCTGGAACGGGGGAACAGAGGGAGCAAGGTCAGCCTTCCATCATCCCTACACCCCTGAGCCTTCAGCATCCCAGTAGGGACACAGGGTGGCAGCCCCACACCCCTAGGAGACAGCAGGCAAGCCCTTTCACCTGACATGTTGGCCCCAGCCATGATGCCCGTGCAGCCATTAAAAAGGACGGCAAAGACGCTGGCGAAGGTCATCATGGCCCCCGTGGTGTAGTCCTTGGCGTAGCCAGCTGAGGAAGGAGTGTTCCCAGGGAGGAGAGGGTCTCAGCCTCCCTCCTAGGAATCCAGGCATCCTGGCCCTGCCACCTTCTCCTCACATTCCACAACCCCCGTGCCTCCCCCAGCACCCTCACCAAGACCCCAGCCCTGACTTGTCTCTGGCCCTGGCTCAGCTGACCTCCTCACCTCTTTCTCCCCCTAAACTGCTCTCTTCCTCTCTCCAGGCCTCCAGCCATGCTCTGTCCCCACGACGCCTTCCCTCCGGCTCCATCTGAATTCCCCAACCCATCTGGGCCATGCCCAGCTCCACCTGCTCCCGCCCTCCCCGGCCGTGCTCAGATCTCCCTCCTCTCCTCTCTTGACTCTTGTCTACTTGACCCACACTCTGTCTGACTGCACTGTTTAATTGTTTCCTGAATGTACATCTTATCTCTCCAACCAAACAAGTTCCTCTAAGGCAGGGATTGTCTTCTGGTCACTCTCATGCCCACCAGGCCACACACACAGTGGCCAACACACGCCTGACAGATTCCCCTGTATGCTCCAGGGCCAGACCTCCTGCCCCTGATGCTCTCTGACATCTGTTCTCATCCGGGGATTCCAACGGCCTGGCCCCCACGAGTGCCCACCCCTCGCCCTGAGAACCCCAGCACCCCTGTACCCAGCTCACCACCCAGATTGGCCTTGAGAGTGCTGCTGTTGAAGCCGGTGAAGTGGCCGAACTGGGGCGGCAGGGAGGAGCCATTGGGACCAGGCCGAGGGGTCAAGGGGATGTTCCTGGGCCCCACAGCCACAAAGCTGACCAGCACCGAGGCCAGAGAACCCGAGACCAGCAGGAATGTGAGGAAGGAGGCGCGGGCGTAGAGGCCAGCCCCTAGTGTGCAGACCCCACCCACGAGGCCCAGCAGCAGGGAGCCGTAGAGCAGGCTCCAGCCGTAGCCCTGGGGCAGGACCCGGAGCCCCCCGGACCCCATGGCATCTGTAGAGGAAGGAACAGAGTTAGAAGGCCAGGGCCACCAGGAGGGACCCCAACCATGACTCAAAGCTAGAAAATAGCCCCTCTTTGGCCCACCTGTCCTCAGAGAGGCTGCCTTTCCCACTCCCCCACTCAACTGTACCCCAGCATCCTAGCCCTCCCTGGGGGGCACCACGAATCTTGCTCTGTCAATTTTAAGGGTAATTAGCCTCGCCTCCCCAACTAGATGGTAAGCTCCCTGTGGGCCAGGACAATCTCTCAGACATCTTAACAGGGCCAGGCACACAGGAGGAGCTTGAGAACACCAAGCTAATGGGCCACTTGGCCCTTCTCCTGGAAAGGGCTTCTCTCCCTCGTGATCCCAGAATCCGAGACCCTGCAAACCCGAAGAGCTGCCTGGACCAGGGTGGGGAGCACGGACCAGCCCCGAAGGTATCGAGCACAGCTTCCACCAGCCCCAGCAGGGAGACGGCACAGCCACAGACGTTAGCCAGGTAGAACATGAGGCCAATGCTGCCCCCGACCTCAGGCCCCAGGGTCCGGCTGATCATGACTAAAAGTGGAAGCAGGGGCGAGCGTTAAGGGAAAAGAAACTGAAATGGAGGCTGAGGGAGGGCCCTGGCACAGAGCACTCTGCAGCTGGTTGTGCAGGCCTCATCTCCCTGCACACACCGGGACTGTTCCCTTGGCCATGTGTCAATGTGTCCCAGTGCAGCCACTCTCAAGCCACATGGTTTTGCCCAAGCCACTAATGCTCCTGAGCTCCAGTTTCCTCATCTGTAGAATGAATACTACCTAATTGACAAGACAAGAGAACCAAAATGACAGCTGAGAAGACAGCCAGTGGACTGGAAAGTGGCAGTAACATGTAAGGCCATGTTGGTCACCTTCCCCATACCAGCCTACCCACCGGACATTCATTAGAACTTGCCTCCCTCTTGCCCTGCCCCACAGGAGATGGAAGAAGGGGTCCCTCCCCCTCCCCACAAGACAGAAGAGCCCAGGCCCCAGGCCATCAATGTTGGAGGATACAGTAGGCTCCACCCCCCCGGACAGCTCCATTGGTGGCAATGGCACAGACAGAGAGGACGGTGAGTGCCAGGATGAAGTAGGCAACCAGGAGCATGGCCAAAGCCTGCAGGAGCCCAGCATGGCCCACCACGAACCCTGGGAAAGAGTAGCAAAGCAGGTCAGAGGGTGGCCCACACACCCCAACCCCCAATCCCCACCCCACTGGTTGTCAGTTACCTTCACACTGGAGCTAAACACATGGCCACAAGGAGCCCTCTCCCTAAGCCCTTCATCCACCCACCTCTCCCAGGGCCTTTCCCCAACATTGTCCCAGTCCCACTTCTCCTCGCCACTGGGCCCCAAGTAAGCCCCACCATCCCACTCACCAATCCTCAGGAAGACAACTATACTGAACATGGACAGGACCGTGGGCACCACCACACCCAGGAAGGTGGAGAGCTTCCGGGCAGATGCTCCTCCAGGAGCCCCAGCCCCATTCGCAGGGAAGGCAACCCCTTCCTCCCCCAGGAGCCGGTAAGCCAGCAGAGGAGAGTTCTCACTGGCCATGGCCGAGAGCAGGCAGACAAAGCCACCAGTGAGTTATGAGGCCTGCAAAAGACAGGATGCTGAAGGGAAAGCAGCTCCACAGAGCCCCCCCAAAACACCTCTAACCAAACACCCAGAAGCCTCCCCAACAGGGAAAAACACACACACACACACACACACACACACACACACACCTGCAACTCAGAGTTAGTGGGGGGAAGTCTGGTCCTGGCCGCTGCCTGGACAACAGCAGGCTCGAAGCCCCTCAGCATTTGGGTACCAAGGCCCCTCCCAGCTCCTAGGGGCCACCCCTTCCCCCACATCCCTGAGACTAAGGATGGCAGTGGTCCTCAGAAGGGGCAAAGATCCTCTCTTTTCTTAACTGGCAGTGCAAGAGGAAGCAAATCTCCTGAAAGGGAAGTGAGTTATGGGCAGGAAGCCTTCCTCACCCCCACCTCCAGAGTCCTAAGCCGCCCCCCTAAGCGGCCCCTTGCAATCACCTCACCCAGGACAACAAGAAACTTGCAAATCTTCCAAAGCCCCACCTCCGTCAACCCTCTCCCTCAACCCATCTCAAATCTGCTCCTCCTCTCTCCTCAGCCTCACCAGATTCCTTCCACCCACACGAGGCGCCCCTCAGACTCTACCAGCCCCAACACACCCCTCGACTACCAAAACAAAAACACAGGCCGGCCACACAAGCCGGGTCCTCCTGCCCCCACCCGGTTGCTGCCCACTTTCTCCCAGGGCGGGTGGGAGGGGGCCGAGATCCGCTTCTCCCCGGCCAGGCACACCCCCACAGCCCGGGGGCGGCGGGGCGCTCCCCTACTCACCCGGAGGACGCAGCCGCTCGGGGGTGATCCCCGAGAGCCGGAGGGGGCACGGCTGCCGGAAAGACAGCTGCGGCTACCGGGATGCCAGGCCCGGAGCCTGCCTCCCCAGCGCACGCGCCCCATTGGTCCCCGGGCCGGCCCCGCCCCGTGGGCGCGCCCGGGGAAGCCCCGCCCCCTGGGGGCTCGGGCGGCCGGCGCAGCTCCGGCTCCACGTGCGCCCGGGGTGCTACCCCGGGTCGCCCTTCGGGCGTACATCTCCTCGGGAGTGTGGGCCACGGATCCTACAGCCCCCATCACCCCGGTGCAAACAAGCGCCCGCCGCGCGGGAGGGACCCCACTCCGAGCTCGGAGGCGCGTGGAGGAGCCAACGCTGAAGGGGGCGTGTGGTGACCTCGGAAGGCGGCCTGCAGGTGGGCGGGGCCGCGACATCTGGCCCAGGTGTGTCGCCAGGAACGCGGGGCACGTCGGTTGGCGCCCTCTGGGGTCCTACTCCTCCGGTCTCTCGAATCCCTGGAGTGTCCACAGGTCCCGAGCCTCTGCCCTCACCTCCACGAGGGCTCCCCTCTCGCACCGGGTCCAGCCGACCAGCTGCGCTCTTCGCTTCCGCCAGCGGAGGGAGCCATTGGCCGCCGATCCGGGCGAGCCCTGGAGGCGCAAGCCACCACAGTTCTGTATCGTCCGCCGCCCGCTCTCTCTCGTGCCTCCCCCCACCATGTTCTCCCCTCTAGCAGAGATGACAGGGCTTGTGAACCCCGGAGCTGGGGCCCTCCTCACGCTTTACAGGTACCATCAACTTCAGTGCCACCTGCAACGTTTCCTGATCTGTAAAAGGGGGGGAAACTAGAACCTCCCGCATAAGGTTGCTGTGAGAGTTCAGTGAACTAATAGGCGATGGGAACAATCCCGAAATGTTCAGTAAGTGATTATTTGCATGCAGTACTACATTAAGTATGCATAACCACTCTGAGGTAGAGACTGCTATGATTTCCATTTTTCGTTAGGAATTTATTAATTGAAGCGTGGAGAGCTTCAGTAATAAATTCCTAACTTTTATTACAGTCCTTTATGGTGACACCGTCATCTGAGCCTCAGGAAATGAACACTGCTTTGGCTGTAGATTATCTGCAGCATTTCCCGAGGAGACAAAGGGCTCCAAGCAGCCCAGATATGGCTTTGCCAGATACAGGTCTCATGAGCAGTTAAACTGTGGCATTTCAGTGGTCATCTCTGCTGCCCATGACACAGAGTTTGGCTCCTGGATCTCTCCAACACCTCTCTGGGCACAATTTCTGGTGATTTCAATGTCCGCGTGGATGAGACTTCCCACACCCTGGCCTGACAGTTGCTTAAACTCCACTTTTGCATAGATCTCACCCTCCACAATACCCGATGGTTGTGCCTAGACTTTGTCGCTACCAATAACTGCAGCCTCTCCCTCTTTCCACTCGCCTCTCCTAGTACACCTGTTAAGGAAAAAATTAATCTGACACTTGTTAAAACAGGACGGACGACTTTATTCAGGACTGTGGCAATAGATGTCAAGACTATCACAGTAGGGGAAGGATATCAGGCTCAACTCCAAATACAGCCAAGACCGCTGGGGATTTATAGCCAACAAGCAGATGAGGGAGTCAGTGGATGGAAGATTACTAAGAGAAAACACCAAATGTGGGGGATTCTAGATAAACAGACTTAACAGGATTCTTGCTGAAGGCAGACCAGGGTGCTCACATATCAAGGGTTGAGGCATTCTCTCTAAACTCTAAACTGGGCTAGGTAGGCCCAGAAAGGATGGGGACGAAGGGCGAGGCCTAGTCCGGAAGAGGGCTCAGAGGAGCCTCACGGAAGTTTGGTCGAGGAGAGGGTCTTTGTCATGCCTGACCCCAAGGATCCTCCACCTCACTGGACCCCCAACCCAGTGATCCTGCCATCTTCCCACTGTCCCCCATCACTTCCCTTCTTACCCAGCTCGAAGTTCACGGTTAGTGGAAAGCACTCCCTTGCCGTCTCGGACTTTATCACACCTCCTGGCCAAACCACAGCTCTGGTAAACGCAAATCCCCATCTGCCATGAACCTATCCAAGCAGCTGAGTGTGGCTGGGGAAAACACCCAACCATAACCATCAGTCTCATTTCAAATTTGTGACTGCGACCCTCAAGTGGGCCCTGATGCTGCCCAGCACTTGGACAGGATTTCTCTAGTCTGTTCACTCTCCCACACTCCTGGGTGACTGTTCAGTCTTCACCTGTCTTCAATCCTCTGGTGCTTCCCCCACTGTTCTCACTCTCAGCTCACAATCTTACTTCCCAATTCATTGAGAAAACAGAAGCCATCGGAGAGACTCTAAAAGCTCCTATCCACCCACCACCCTTTGCTCTGCCCTCTCTCCTGTTACTAGGGACGAACTGATCACGCTCCAGCTAAGGGCAACCTGCCACTAGGTCCCATCTCATCATTTTGTTTTCTCTCTCCACTGGATCGTTCCCGTTAGTATAGAAAGACACTTTTATTTCTCATCTTAAAAAGGAAAAAAAATTTCTTGAATCCTTTACTCCCCTCGCCAGCTATTGCTCCATTTCTTTGTGGTTTCTTCTCTATAGCAAAACTTCTTATATGATGGTCTACACTAGCTGTTTCCAATCCCCTCCTCCCAGTTATTCTTAAACCCACTGCACGTAGGCGCTTGCCCCTCAGCAAAAGGGAAACTGCTCATCAAGTCACCACTGACTTCCACTTGGTCAGTCCAAGGGTCATTGCTCAATCCTCATTTTACCAAACCACCAGCCTCATTGGACACACTTAGTTGCTACCTTCTCCTCCAACACTTTCCTCACATGGCTTCTAAGACACCGCAGTCACGGATTTCCTCCTGCTCAGTCTCCCTTGCTGGAACTTCCTCATATCTCAACTCTGGAGACCCCTTGGCGTTGGAGCAACAGCCAAGAAGCCACTGTGGACTGGAGGCTCCACTGAGGACTGGAAGCTCAGTCCTCAGACTTCTATTCCCCATTTATGCCCGCTCCCTTGGTGATCCAATCTCAGCCAATCTCACAGTTTCAAATACCATCTCCATCATAGTGCCCCCAAGGGTGTATGTATCCCCCACCCAGATCTCTTCTCTGAACTTCAGACTGTATGTCCAACAACCTACTAACATCTCTGCTTGGACGTCAAAGGGGCAACTCGAACTTGGTATGTCCAAAATCGCCTAAACTTACCCCAACAACCTACTCCTCTGGCGGTCTTCCCACCTTTCCAGTTGCTTAGGTCAAAAACCTTGGGGTTATGCTTGAACACTTTCTCACAACCCACATCCAACCCGTCAGCAATTCCTTTTGCCTCTGCTTTTAAAATATAGCCGGTACCCAAGCACATCTTACCACCCTAGTCCAGGCCACCATCATGTCTCACCTGCATTACTGCAGTAGCCCCCTAACTGGTTTGCCCGCTTCGGCCCTTGCTGCTACAGTCAATTCTCAACAGAGCAGTTACAGTGATACCATTAAAGCAAGCATCAGTTCATGACGCTTCTCTTTTCAAAACATTCCAATGGCTTCCCATTTTCCTCACAGTAAAAGCCATAGGCCCTTATACGTAGGGTAACCATACTTTCCTCCTCATTCACAGACTACAGTCCGTCCGACTACAACAGTTTATGCCTGTTGCCTCGGCATAAGTATTAACAGCGTTTCCTTTGCTCAGAGTGACCCAGAGTGGTCCGTACATTATATGGCCATCCTACCCAGGAAGCCCCATCCGATCTGCATCGCGCCCCCACCTCTCCTCCTCTCCTGCCCCACAACGGCCTCTGGGCTGTCCCCAGGAATGCGCTGTGGCGCACAGGGCATGAGCCTTCTTTGTCTTCTGGATTCAAATATTATCTTCTTAGTGAGCTCTTCTCCGCCAAGCCCAACTAAAATTGAGCCACACCTTCCCATCCCTCTTTCCTAATTTTTTTCTCCAAAGCGTTTAACACCATTTAACTGATATATATCAGTTTATTTGGATATATACTGTTTATTTTGCTCATTGACTGCCTCCTCCCAACAGAAAGGAACTTTTGCTTTCTCCGCTGCTGTGGCTCCGGGGCTTCTAACAGTCCCTGGCATTTGGGTGACCCGCATTAAGAATCCTTCCTGAGGGAACCATAGCCCACCTGGGCCTTGCTCCTCACGTGACACTGGCCGCCCCGCCCCCGCTGGCAGGGCAGGGAAGATGGCGGCGCCCAGGGTAGCCTCAGAGAGAGGGCAACCAACGAGAGGCGCCCGCCCGCTAGAGCGTCCCCGCTGCCGCCCTGTCTGCGGTTGCGTCCCGGGATGGCGCGAATTCTGGGGGTCCATACTGGTCCTCTGCCCAAGCGTTTTTCAAGGGGAAAAAAACCTGAACTAATCCTCGGAGACGACTTGGTCTGACTTGCCTGCGGCCTCTCCACCCCTTGGGATCCCCGGGACATGAAGCTTGTTGGACGAGGATGTTGGGATTCAGTATCTGAGTTTTTCTCCCCTGGTGTTGGCTCCCGGGTCCGCCTGTTAGGTGACTTCGGGGTGTCCGTCCAGCCTTCAGTTCTAGGGATCCCCGAAGACACACCCGGGCCGCCCCTCCGGGACGAGAACGTCCAGTCCGCACAGCTCTCCTCCCCCCCACCCCTTCCCGGTGCCCTACTCCCGAGTTTAGACCCTAAATGCAATGCTAATTCCCGGCGAACTACCCTCCCCACCCGGGCCTGAGCTCCCCAGGATTAATCTGGTGAATCCGGACCCCCTCCCCCAGGCCCCAGGGGCAGATGAGCCCTTGGCCACCGCCCCTACAATTTCCTGCAGACCCAACAAACAAAAGGCTCGGGAAGAGAGGCGAGGCTGAGCTGGGCGCCCTTCCTGCAGGAACAGCTGATGGAGCAAAATGGCCCAGGAGGGAGCGGAGGGGAGGGATGAAATTCCAGGGGTCCTGGAGGACCGCAGTGCGAGGCCAGACTCCTGGATCCCGGGAATCCAGCGAAGTAGGTGGGGAGGGCCCAGGCAGGACACCTGAGTTTGCTGGGCTCTACCAGATCCCAAATGCCCTGGTGGAGGTGATGTCAACCTTAGAGAATGGAGGGGGTGGGGGGGACACTA